CTTGCCATATTGATGCTGAACTTAGTGCAGACACCTGATCAGCATAGCCCGGTGCAGCCCTGTTATGCCAACTTCTCCAGGAAATTCCTGGAGACCCAATCCAAGTTATCTACCAAGGAAAATTGGGTGTTTGTGGCTGTGCGTAAGTTCTATACCAGTCTATACAGAGGTCGGATGGCGAATGAGACGCTCGGCTATATCCCAGGAAGTGAGACAACACGCTAGTCCTTAAATAAATGTTGTCTTTACTAAAGGTTTCTGCAGTCATACAAAATCGGAATCATACAAATTCATACAAGCTCCTTAGTTACAAAAGTACATTAGAACAATTACAGCATAGAAAATAACAAAAGCATCAAAATGGGGAAGACACAATGGGGCACGGCTATACTCATCTGAGGTCCAGCTGAGGAAGAACTCCCCTCCTTGGAACGCTGGGCAGCCGAAAGCAGCAGCTTGTGAACTCCAAGGACGTGGCCTCGATCAGGTCCTTTTGCCGGTGATGCAAGGGACCCCTCCCTGGGCAACCTGGCGGGCCGCAGCTCCTCGCGGCTCGCCATATTGATGCTGAACTTAGTGCAGACACTCGATCGGCATAGCCCGCTGCAGCCCAGAACTCCTAAGCTCACATGATCCGCCGGCCTCAAATAAACCCATGTGTCAGACAGGATGCCCACCTCTTCCCCAGCAATGGCTTGATGGACAAAAGTGCTGCCATCATGAACATATTCCTGTTCCGAACCACACACCCTTTCCCTTGAAAAAGGGAGGGAACCCCCCCCACCCCCCCACCACGCCCAAGAGCACCCTAACCACTAGGCCAAGAGGGGAGGTTCAGAGGAGTTATGGCAGGAGGCACTAGGCACCCCACTGAAGCTCTGACATCACACTACACATGAAGCCAGGCAGAGGCGTGGCTCCATGGAAAGGCACAGGGTTAGCAGTCAGAGTTTGCAGCTTGATCCCCACATGAGTAGGCAAAAGACGCAGAGCTAATCTTTTGCTACTGCAAATGGCAAAAGGGGGAATCAGATGGCCTTCTCAGTAAAGGTAAAAAAGGTAAAGGTTTCCCTTGCTCGAAAGCCAGTAGAATCTGACTCTAGGGGGAGATGCTTATCTCTGTTTCCAAGTTAAAGAGCCAGGGCTGTCCAAAGACTTCTCTGTGGCCTTGTGGCCAGCATGGCTAAACGCCGACACGGAACACTGTACCCTTCCCACCGAAGCAGTACCTATTTATCTACTCGCAATTTCTTGTTTTCAAACTGCTAGGTTGGCAGGAGCCAGGGCTAGAGACAGGAGCTCACTCCATCACGCGGCACTAGGGTCTCGAAGTGCTGAGCTACAGACCTTCTGGTCTGCAGCTCATCGTCTTAATCTCTGAGCCACCACAGCCCTTCACCTATGCAGTAGGCTGCCCCAAATGTCATCAGTGTGGCCAAGGTGCTGCTCCACACACACCCTGCTGCATACATGGACACAGCTCCCTTGTATCCATCATGGGTTCCTGCACCTACATTGACAACCTGTGCAGCTTACCAGATGCCAGGAGTGCTATGGGAGAGTGCAGGACACAAAGACCTCCCTTCTCTGAGCAGCCCCCACACACACCCAAACCACCCACCAGCCCATTCCCTGTGCATGCTGCTTAACATCTATATGTGCCCTCTTGCCCAGTTAGTCAGGAGATTTGGAGTAGGCTGTCATCAATATGCAAATGACATCCAGCAGTATTTGTTAATTGACAGCTAGCCAGACACCATCCCAGAATCATAGAATCATAGAGTTGAAAGGGACCTCCATGGTCATCAACCCCCTGCAAAGTGCAGGAAATTCACAAATACCTCCCCCTCCACACTCACAGTGACTGCTGTTCCATGCCTATAAGATGACAAAAACTCTTCAGGATCTCTGGCCGAACTGGGCTGGAGAAAAATTTCTTCCTGATCCCAAAATGACAAAGAAAGAGAGAGAGAGAGAGAGAGAGAGAGAGAGAGAGAGAGAGAGAGAATGAGAAACCCATGCTGGCTCTTAGTAATCACAGCTGTCCTTTCTAAATGCTCAAGGACTGACTGTCTGATGATTTGTTCTAAAACTTTCCCAGGTATAGATGTCAAGCTGACAGGTTGCTAGTTATCCGGATCCTCCTTTTCCCCCTTATTGAAGATGGGTACAACATTTGCCCTCCTCCAATCTTCTGGCACTTCACCTGTTCTCCAAGAAGGGAGAGATTCCTGGTCTTAGCTATGTTAAACATAACCCGAGAAAGGATTCCGTCTAAGAATTTGGAATCTAGTGTCAGCTAAAGCTGAAGTACATTTTCACACAGACACCAAGAACTGGGGTTTGAGATTCTGGCAAAGAGTGACTGGGTAGCAGGCTGAAGTTCCCAATCAGGCCAAAAGGAATAGGATCATATTTTCAGGGAAGAAATAGAAGTCCCATCCAGTTCTACAGGAAATTGGCACTGAGGCAGTCCCTTGGTCTGTTGTGAAAGCAAATGGTTATAGACTACTTAGGGGAAAGAAGACACATTGTGATTTCAGAAAAGGGGAAAGAATTCGATACACTAAAAGAGTGACCTTACCAGAAAACCTGAACAGTTATTAGGAAACCAGCTAGTCTCTTAGAATCATGGAATCATAGATCAGACTTGGAAGGGACCTCCAGGATCATCTAGTCCAACCCCCTGTACAAGGCTGGAAATTCACAAATACCTCCCCCCACCCTCAGTGACCAGTGTTCCATGCCCAGAAGATGACAAAAAAACCTCCAGGATCTCCCGCCAAACTGGCCTGGAGAAAAAATTGCTTCCTGACCCCAAAGTGGCAATCAGCATTTCCCTGGGCGTGTAAGAGGGGGCCACAAGAACTAATCACCAATGCAATCCTTCCTGCCCTCCCTCTCATGATCTCTCTAAGTTCACAGAATCATCATGGCTGTCAGATGGCCATCTAGCCTTTGCTTGAAAACCTCCAAAGAAGGAGAGCCCACCATTTCCTGAGGAAGCCTGTTCCACTGAGGAACTGCTCTGTTAGGAAGTTCTTCCTAATGTTTAGCCAAAAACTCTTCTGATATAATTTCAACCTGTTGTTTCTGGTCCGATCTTCTGGGGCAGCTGATTCATAGAACACAGTGGGTGACTGGTGGTGGCTGTAGTTGTCATTTTGGGCTCCACTGGATCTTTTGGATGGGCTGCACTAGTGTGGATCACTTAGCCTATTTTGTTGTGTGGGTTATGCTGTGTTTTTTTTCTGTTGTAAGTTTTCTTCACTGTTGAGAGGCATTCCCAGACTGAAGCAGGTTAGGGAGCTGACCGACTCCAGTCAGGCCCAACTATTCCCACGCTGGCTCAGCAGCCTATGTTGGTGGTCTGCTGGTGGCCAAGACTGGTGTAGCAGCATTGGGACAGTGTGCCAATGCAATCTCAGGTTGCATTGGTGTTATCTTGGGGATATGCCAGACTACCGCCTGATTGGCTCACTGTGCACTCCCTCCCCCTTAGGCTTGTGCTGACAGTATCTCCTTACTGTCCAACACTATGTCCTTATATGACATTGTGCTGGGGGCCTAGTAAAGATAGACAGGACAGGTAAAGGGAAGTGCAAGGGAAAATACAGTACGGAAAAGTTAAACTGGCAGCAGAATCGACAGACAACTCATATGAAATGTGAAAGCAAAAGACAGATCCTATTACATATTCCAAATTTCCTACTACTCACGTGGGGCAAAAAAGGAAAAGATACTAGCACATTTATGAGCATGATTTTCGTGTGCTTTTTCCCCTTTATACTCCTAATGCTCCCCAGTCAACTACGTTTTACAGCTTTCCCAGGTGTCTGAAGTGCCTCGTGCTTGACCCCTCTGTTCTTTAGATATATCTGCAGATTCATATAAAATGATCCCCTTCAGTGTTTCTGTTGCTTCGAGTACACACTGATCCTTCCTCTACCTCAGATCCATTACATTCTTTCTGACACCACCATTACCTCTTGATGCAATTATAGCTGTGAGTTCAATTGGGTGTCATGTATTCTTATCTAGACATAAAGTGTTATTCGTGTGACCGTGCTTTGTTCTCCTCGACTATATTTGCCAGACCACTGAGGGTTTTAAATCTTTTATCTTAAAAAAAAAAAAAAGCAAGGTCCTCTGGAATTTTTGAGATCAGAAATAAAAAGGTTAGAATGTGCTGCATTGGTTTGAAGCATCTGCATCCTCCCCTCCCAAACTGTTCTGCACGATATTGTCTTTAAGGAAAGAACTGGATGGAAACATACTGAAATATGTGGCTGCTATTTAATTTTTTTAACATAATTTTTAATATACCATGTCTATTATAAAACTTTCAAGCATAGGCAGGAATCTAAAAAAGATACTTTAGGGCAGGTTTAAGTACTTTCAAAATGTCCTTGATGTTTTTAGTTTTAGAGGAGGAGGAGAGGAGGAGATTGGATTTATACCCCACCCTTCACTACCCAAAGGAGTCTCAGAGCAGCTTACAAACTCCTTTCCCTTCCCCTCCCCACAAAAGACACCCTGTGAGGTAGGTGGGGCTGAGAGAGCTCTGACAGAAACTGCTCTTTTTCAAGAACAGCTCTTATCACAACTATGGCTTGCCCAAGGTCATCCAGCAGGAGCAAGTGGAGGAGTGGGGAAGCAAACCTGGTTCTCTCAGATTAGAGTCCGCACACTTAACCACTACACCAAACTGGCTCTTGGTTAATTTATTGGTTGTTGTAGTTTTTCCGGGCTGTATGGCCATGGTCTTGGCATTGTAGTACCTGCCATTTCGCCAGCAGTCGTAAAACATTAGGTACTACAATGCCAAGACCACAGCCATACAGCCTGGAAAATCTACAACAACTAATGAATTCTGGCCGTGAAAGCCTTCAACAACATTTTGGTTAATTTGTTTGATTTCCTCAGTATTCTATTTCCAGATGTCTAAGACAAAAATAACTTCATGTAACACAATCACTAATACTGTTATCTCTTCTTAGGTAACTTTCAAAGCATCGAGGTATTCAGTGTCTCCGGATTTAAAATATGTCCTCCTTACATATGACATCAAACAGGTAAGCTAGTCTTTGGGGGGAAATGGTATAATACATTGAAAATTATACTAATTGCATTATCTGGGGGGGGGGAACCAACTTAAAATGAAACTGACTTTCTTTATGCCATTAATGCTGGTGAGATAATGTTTTAATTACATTGGATTAAATTTTGGACCCTCTGGCTTTTTTTTGAATTGAAGTTGATTTGAAACAAATTTAGACCATTAGCAGTTATGTAAAATAATTCTGATTTGCCTTTCTTTGTTGTATTTGGATAAGTGATGTTTTACAGTAACATAATTGTGTGGGAAAAACTCAGACATTATGCAAATGTTTTAGAGAATCCATTTATTTGGCTAAGATATGTTTAAAGCTGTTCTGTGGGCAATTTTCTATTTTGTGTAAACCACAGTGTACTAAAACACATTCTTTCTTGCTTGTTGTTCAACTGGCTTTAGCAGGTTGATATCCTTGCACATGTACAACCCTGTGTCCCAGTTTAAACTAATTGAAATCACTGGGCTCTTCATAGAATTGCACTGTAGCTCTGCATAGGATTACATTGTAAATGTTATTGTTATAAAACAAGAAATGGTCCCACCTTCCTGCACAATGTTTTAATTGTTGTTTTTATGTCTTTGTATTAAGTGTTGTTCTTGTTTTAATTATTCTAATGGTGCGTTATTGTTCTTTTTTGTTGGTTTTAATGGTTTTGAAATGTGGTTTTATTATGAATGTTTTCATTTGTTAATCATCTTGGTGGCCCTTGTGAGGGCAGAAAGGCAGGATATAAATCCTGTAAAAGAAAAGAAAATATCTTATATATTATGGCAACATCAGATCAGAACACAATTTTCTGCCTTCCATTACAGTGTTTGACTTAGTTGGTTCAGGTGGGTAGCTGTGTTGGTCTGAAGCAGCAGAACAAATGAGTCCAATGGCACCTTTAAGATCAACAAATACCTTGAATAAACTTTGTTGGTCTTAAAAATGCCACTGGACCCAAAGTTCATCAACTCTCAAGGTTTTATTTAATACTACAAAGCAGCTGTGGGGTGGGTGGGTATGGCTAGACTATATTGGGTTCTCAGAGTTGAGAGAGGGGTTTAACTCTTTTCCCTGGTTGAAATGTCCCTCCAAAATTCCTGTTAGCTCTCTTGGGAGAAAGTACAACCTTGATATCTTGATATTGCTGCTAGTAACGTTGTGTGGTGGGGGAGAGATTTTCTGTAGGGGAAATGATATGGGGGGGGAGGATTAAACTCCCCCATTTCAACTGCTGCAGCCCTCCTGCCGTTTGTTCCCTTTCTCTAGCTGAATTTTAGCGTTGTAAAACAAACAGACAAAAAAACATCCAGTCATAGACTCCCATGTAATATGCCCTAGGTTTGTGAGTACTAACTACATTCACAAATCCAACTACACTTGTTTTAGACCTGTAAATGCAAATAAGAATCTATATTGATGGAATTCTGATATTATTAGAAAAATTGCCAGGTTATTTGCAGAATGTCATTCAATGGGTTCAGTCACAGTGCCATATGCTTAAAATAACTGCATTGCATGGAAAACATGCTTTATATATATATATAAAGTTAATTTATATATTGTTTACTTCTTTTCTCTCCCCTTCTTCACTTCTCATTATTGAGGTGACCTGCTTTATGTCACATCATTTCCAATAATGTTGATGTTTTTTTTTTCATCCAGATGTTTAAAACAGATATGCTTCACCAGCATATCACTCCTTGGGTCCATTGAATTGAAAGTGGAATTCTACTTGAGGGTTTCATCAGTGAGCTAATTAGTTACAGTTCTGTCCCAATCTTCCTTCTGGGAAATTCAAGACAGAATATAGCTCCTGAACAGTCTTCTGTCTAGGATTGTCACAATGGTCAGGTTATTATGAAGTCATAGACGATGTGTAGTAATGAAGGATAGAGTCTAGCTGGGACTCCCATTAAGAGAAATTTACAGGCAGTACTTGCTGTTCATAGCAGATGGTGTTGAAGAGGACACCACCATAGATCAATGCTGCAGGTGAAAATGGGAGTTTTGTTTTCCTTGTGTAATATTCATTGCAATAGAAAGCAAGGACTTTTTCACATCTAGACTTTGACATGAAGTAGCCAGTTTTTTTGGGGGGAGGGGAATGGAGACTTAAATTTCACTGTGACATTTGCCATGAAATTGTAATTAGAGCCGTGGTTATTTTGATCTTTGGATTCAAAATAAATGCACAGTTAAATTAAATAGTGAAATGTTTTATTTTTCTGTTGTCAGCATTTTCTTTAATCTATTTTATGCTTAGAATGGCAAACTTTAATTAAATTTGCAGTTGTTTCAGCACAATTAAGTATATCCTTTATGCATAATGGGATGTAAATTTGCATGAAAATAAGCTGTCTTTGAATACAAAAGTAATAATTGAATGAATCATACTGAGCAGAATGAGGAAAGCTGTTAAATGTATGCTTCTGCAGATGCGTGATGTTGTTCTGTTCTCTTTGTGAGCTGAAAAAAAAATCTGCCTTGATTCCTGTTGAATAAAAGTTAATTTTAGATTTTGTATCCTTTACTGAACCTGAGTTTCAGTATGAATGTTAGCTACTTTTACTTATGCTTCCTGAGAAGATCCACAATGATTGTGACTGTCTTAGGTGGTCCGGTAACAAGATCAGCTATGAAAAATGTTGGCAGGTTCAACTTACTAGAGCAGAATTTATATCGTTTTAATCACCCCTATACGGGTCAACTGCATGCTTTCTTAGTCATGAAAAGTGATTTTGATTGTGACTATAGAAGTTCTCATATATTACCAAGTGAAGAATTTAACTGTTGTGTTAAAATGAGTGCATAGATCACAGAGAGCATCCCACTGTCATTTATGGTTCAGCAACTGGTTATGAAGAATACATTCCAGACAGTCCTGCCACATACAAAAGAAGAACCGAACCGCCAATTAGATAGGGCACAGACAGGCTATTGTCCTCCCCCCGCCCCTTCCACATTTGACCAGGTTTCAGGAGTGCTTATATCCGTGGCCTATGCAGAGATTCAGTATGCTGCATAGCTAATGGGGTCCGTGAAGCAAACTAGAAATAGAAGTTCTTTAGCTATTCATTCCTTGTTCACTTCTTCGTCCCTCTAATATCCTTTGTTCAGGTCTCATAAGTGGAATTGTAAAAGAGGTAGTCACTTAACAAAACAAACACGTGGGGGTGTGAAGAAGAAGTACAGATAAGCATGCTTTTCAGTATTGATTCCTGAAAATACTTCTAAGTGGCTTGATGCTCTTAGATAACTTTAAATTACCAATCACTCCATACAATTTGACAATGAAAATGTAATGGTAATAAAACTACCACTGTTACTGGTACCACAGTTCAACACTAGCCACCATCTGGATCTCTCTGTATGAATTTCCCCCCATGTTAATTACTCAAGATTTACAATAACTATTTTTTTTTGGGGGGGGGGGAATCATTCAAACTATATTGTGGTGTTAGATTTCCCCCCCTTCAGGAATTTAAAGGCTACTTGTTAGTCATTAGGTAAGGTGAATTAAAGTGCCCCCTTGTTTCATAGCTAAAAGGGACATCAGCAGTAATAATATTTTTTTTTAAGTCCTCCTTTTAAGAAATTCTTCTCTCTCTCTCCTTTGTACTTGTAAGACCATGTTTACAGATGCAATTATTTTGGAGGTTATCTTAGAGTTGCCATCTTCACAGGTCACTGCATTACTCTGGAGGTTATCTTAGAGTTGCCATCTTCACAGGTCACTGCATTACTCTGTGAAACTGTGAATCCTAAACACCAGAGATAATGCTAACTCTCAAATGAGGAAGTTTCAGAATCTCAGGAGCCACTGACTTCTGCAGACAGTTGTCTGGGGCCTAGGAATGCTTTTTATAAAGAAACTAGTATGATCTTTTAGCCTTTTGATACTGTCCTTGGGGTTTTCTTGGCAAAAATACTGGAGTGGGTTGCCATTTCCTTCTCCAGTGGAAAGCGATGGCGAACCTAAACAGCATGATAAAAAGTAGAGACATCACCCTGCCAACAAAAGTCCGCATGGTCAAAGCAATGGTATTCCCAGTAGTCATGTATGGCTGCAAGAGTTGGACTATAAGGAAGGCCGAGCGCCGAAGAATAGATTCTTTTGAACTATGGTGCTGGAGAAGACTCTTGAGAGTCCCTTGGACTGCAAAAAGATCAAATCAGTCAATCCTAAAAGAAATCAACCCTGACTGTTCCCTGGAAGGCCAGATAATGAAAATGAAGCTCAAATACTTTGGCCACCAAATGAGAAGGGAGCACTCACTGGAAAAGACCCTGATGCTGGGAAAGATTGAAGGCCAAAGAAGACGGGGATGGCAAAGGATGAGATGGTTAGACAATGTCATCGATGCAACGAACAT